GAACAGCCTGCTCTCATGAGCTTTTTATACTGAGTCAATTTTTCCATAAGAAGACCTGTCTGATGAGAATTTAAAAGCAACATAATGAGATAGAAAGGGTTAAAATAGATGTTGCTATTTATTTAATGCCTCCAGGAAATGGACAGAGAAAGTGACACTTCACCAGATACCCCAAGATAGGAACCATGGCAGCACTGAGAAATCTAGGCATGAGATAGCTGCAGGAAGAGGCAACAGAAAACCTTTACATCCCTGAGGTAAAGCACTATTACTAGAAATAAAGGCAGAAAGGAGATATTTATGGCACAAGTAAAACAAGAGAAGGTATGAAGCCTAGGACATGACCTAAACAGGGTCTACAAAGTCATAGGAACCATGACCTGGCACCCTGCGTTCCTCTGCTCAGGACTCCTAGACATTTCATTTTCCTGCATTATGTCTGATACACAGGGAAGGCAGGGTGCTCTGTCTTGTAAATAATCCTCCAGCCAAATGCTGCCTGTAAAAGAGAGGTGCCCAGGTATGCATATGTGAGAGAAATCATTTCTTGGGCCTGGATGTTAGAGAAGCTAAAGAAAGTGAATCAGCCATGGTGATGGTTACCAAACTGGCAAACCAAATCTCTGCTCCAGTGATAATGAAAGGCTGGCGTGGAATACATCAAATACGGCATATGATAACATGCATTCCCTATGGCAAATGTCTTTTTATTCTACAAATAGTGCGGTAGAGGTGATGTTTGAATTTTTTTAAGTATTTTTGACTACACCAGTTGCAGGGAGTCAAGAAAATATCAAACTATCTGGGCCATCACCATCGCTGCAGACCACAGCAGGTGAGAAACTTTGCAGAAAATTTTATGTTGATGCCAACAGACAACCTTCAGAATACCGGAAGTACATGAGGCACACTGAGGCATGCTTTTCTTGAATTATCTCATTGTATCTCTGGAAGAACTCGAACATCAGGTGGGTCTTCATTTCACAACTACAACACCTGAGGCCAGGAAAAGATGGAGAAGATGGACCATATAACCATGGTTGCAGTCAAGAATAACATCTGATCTTTGTTTAACTTTAATTTTATATCTCAGCTGACACCTAATATTTGCATCAAAGTTTCTTAAATCAGAGTTTATATAAACTTCCTAGTAACTTTCTGAAATGGATATACTAATGTCTACATAATACCGGGAGTGGACACTTCTCTTTATAGGCTGGGAGAGGAAGAGGATAGACAGCAGGTCAGTTGAGATACAGGAAGATAATGTTGGTTTTTCGTAACTGAATCTGGTCTTGGTGATGTTGGGTAACAGGTATAAATAATTATAGTACATACAAGGTCAAATTCAGACATTTTAGGTAAAGATTTTTTTATTGGATGTTTTATTTACATTTCATATGTTATCCCCTTACCCCATTCCCCTCCGCCCAGGAACCCCCTATCCCCTTACCCCTCCTCCTACTTCTCTGCAGATGTGCCCCTACCTACCCCTCCCACTCCCACCTCCCCACCCTCAAATTCCCACCCACTGGGGCATCCAGTCTTCATGAGACCAAGGATCTCTTCTCCCACCTATGCCCGACAGGACCATCCACCCTTACATATACAGTTGGAGCCATGGATTCCTCCCTAAGTGCTCCCAGGCTGGTGGTTTAGACCCTGGAAGCTCTGACTGGTTAGTATTGTTGCTTTCCTCATGGAGCCGCAAACCCTTTCAGCTCCTACAGTCTTCACTCTAACTCCTCCATTGGGAACCCCATGATCAGTTCAATGGCTAGCTGTGAGCATCTGCCTCTGAATATGTCAGACTCTTGCAGACCTCTAAGGAGACATCTATATCAGGCTCTTTGTCAGCATGCACTTCCTGACTTCCACATCAGCATCTTTAGGTAAAGATTTTTAAATATATAATTCCCTTTATATTATCCTTATCAACTCTAAACTCTCAAGGTAACTTGATAGAGTCAGTACTCATCCTTCACTCTTAAGCTTTCTAAGGTCCTGAAACTGCTGGATGCAAGCCACACCAAGCTTAAGTGGCCCTCTCCAACCTTGAAGAGTGCTTTATTGCGTATCTCCAATGTTCATATCTAATTATCAATGCAGCTACCAGGAGAGGCAGCTTGGTTTTCTGATTTAGTGCCCTGTGAAAAATCTCACATTTGCTTAAGAAAACAGAACTTCCTTCTGGACAAGTGACTGCAACCAATCTCATGAGTTGGAGCAGCTTCACCACAAGGAGGCTTACTCTGGTCTCCAAAGATATTAGACATAAGAAACGCATTGTTTACATCTCCTACACAGCAGAGAGGTCATAAAGAGAGTGCCAGGCAGCTCTGTCATGGTATCTTAGGGTTTTATTGCTGTGATTAGATGCCATGATTATGACAACTCTTATAAAGGAAAAAAATCAATTGAGGCTGGCTTACAGCTCAAGATTCAGTCCATTATCATCATGGCAGAAAACATGGTGGCATGCAGGCCAACACGGTGCTGGTAGGAGATGAGAGTTCTATATCTGGATATATAGGCAGCAGGAAGAGACAGTGGTCCACTAGGCCTGGCTTGAACTTCTGAAATCTCAAAACCTTCACCAAGTGACTCACTTCCTCCAGCAAGGTTACATCTACTCCAACAAGGTCACACCTCCAATCTCGCCATACCTTATGAGCCTATGGAGGCCATTCTTATTCAAACCACCACATATGGCAACATCTTCTACTCATTGACATGATTTTCAACATGAAAGACACAAAAGTCAGAAAACAGCATCTCCTTTTAAACTTACTGCGGCTTAAGGTTTTACCCACCAATATACATCATCTGTTCCCTTGCTTGGTTCAGTTGACGGAGCTCCTACCACCTATTTACATTTAGAACTTCTATTATGAAAGGAAATTGATACATTTTATTTTCTTATACTAGCCCCAAAGAACTTCCAAAGTTAAGAGCATATTAAATTGAATAATAGCAAAATTTTAGATATCTACCTTTTCAACTAGAGACTTAGAGAGAGAAACTTTAACTGGGACGTAAGATAGATGCTCTTATGACTGTCTAAGAAACTGAATTAAAAGATCATTTGAAAAATGGGAAAAGGTTAAAATAGGACGTCTACATTGACCTTAAATTATTGCATAATTCTGCCTCTTACCTCTGTCTCTAGGGTTTACTTCTGAATCCATCTACCTCGATCCTTCTTTCTATCCTATCAGCCATAGTTCGCTACCGTTTACCATCTACATTAATCTATAACTTTGTATAAAAGTTTCTATATCCATACCTGACTATCTCTTTATTCTTATTTTAAACCCTTGTTTTAAACGTCTTTTTGAGTCTTTATGAGTTTCACATCATGTATCCCGGTCCCGCTCCTCTCACTGTCTCTTTATATTTGCCCTTTGCCCTTGCAACCTCCCTCAAAATAAAAAACACACATACAAACCACAATAAAAACAAAGCATAGGAAACAATCTCATTGTGGAAGCTGTTGTAGGTCACAGTGTGTCCCACACTATCTCCCTCTGTCCACATGTTTTCACTTCTAAATATTCATTGCAATGAGTCATTGGTCTGGTTCAAGGTCTCTGGCTTCTGTGACAATATTGAATCCTCATCAGGACTCCTCCAGGTCATCCTGCTGTTGTCCTGTGTCATAGAGACCCTTCAGCTTTGAAACAGCAGTTTTCATGTGTCCTGACCATTCACAGATGATATTGATTTGGGGGTAGGTCATCTCAGACCCTGGGCCTTGGTATTGGCTCAGCTTGTCAGGCTCTCCTTTATCCATACCACCAGCGTGAGCTCTCCAGCACTGCTCTGGCTGGGCTACCCAATGCCGCCGTCAGTGGGAGGCAGGGTCAGTTCTCTTGCTCTCATGCTGTCTGGGCCAACTCACCTGTACTCATTCCTCCAGAGACAGTTTCTACTGTGTTGCCCAGGCAAGGTTCAGGGCCTGTACTCCAGAACGCTATAGCCAGTGAGATGACAAGGCTAGCTTTCCCACTCTCATGAACTTCAGACAAACTCTCCCCCACTCTTGCCCTTGGGTAGGCTCACCTGAGCCCCTTCCACCAGTGCCAGCTCTACTGTGCTGCCCAAACAAGGTGCAGAGCCCAGAGTTCTACAGCTAGAGACTGGCAGGGCCTGATCACCCACTCTCATGACCCCAGAGCCAGCTCTCCCAACTACAACAAGTGGTGGTAGTGGAGTGTTGTCAAGTATAACCCCTACACCCATGCTACCTCACAACAGACAAGTGGCTGTGACAGCTCTCCTGTGCTTTCAAATTCGGGGTAGCTCACCCATCCCCCTTGACCATCCCCAGCCCTTCTGTGTTGCCCAGATGAGGAGCAGAACTCACTCTCCTGAATGCAGCAGCCAATAAGGGGCAGGGCCTTGTGACTCTGGGGCGAACTCTCCTTCATTCTTGCCCTTAGGGCTGGTTCACCTGAGACTACATATCCAGGGTCAGCTCTACTGCACTATACAGCTCTGAACAGCCCCTAGACGAGGTGGTGCCCTGTGACAGCTGCCCAGACCAGGGACAATTCCATATTCTCTAGTGATAATATGAGCCATGAGCATTGACAATGACCCCTGCCACTGAGTAGCCATGGACTCAGACATGTTCCTCATCGGCAGCTCTGGCTGGAACCTCACCATGGCCCCAAGTGGCAGGGCTAGATACTCACAACAGACTACTCCTCTCTACCCTCAAGTCTCCAATTCCATCTCCACAGTGCTCAGGCTTGTGTGCTTGTATCTCTCCCATCTGACCTCCACATACTCAAACATTGTGGTGCCCCCCGTTACAGGCTGGCCCCGAAGCTGGTTGACCTCCATCCATGCTGCATAGCTGGTTGGCAAACAGGTATCTATGACCCACTGATGATAAGTATTAGAAAGCAGGTCAGTGGGTGGCATATAGGTCTGTGGTTCTCTGTCTGTCTTCTTCCTTCTGCCCTGTGCTGCCTGGATTTAAATTGGTTTGATTTTTATGAATCCTAGGCATAAACAATGCTTTGGTCACTAAGTCAGGCATCAAGCTAGGATAAACAAAGGGCTAACTGCTCTGCCCCTCCCTGATAGAAGAACAATACCACCAACGAGGTGTCTCTTTGCCCATTGTCGGGGGTTTTAAACTCATTATTTTTCTAGTAATAGGCTGGGCAAGTACTCATAGCATCAGGCTGTCTCTGGTTGAGTGACAATATCCAGTCAACAATGTAAAGACATGCCCCCAAGTAGAATCAAAACACATGAAAAGAAACTGTTAGTTTAATTTAAGACAGCACAGTGAGGCAGATGGAACAGAGATGAGGAATACCCGACAAGGAGTCAGTAGGTTGGATGAGGACCAGATAGTGAAAGGATGAAGCAATACAGACAACAAAGAGCTAAAAGATGGAAAATGTGAAGAGAGTTGGAATCTGATTGCTGTGGAAAGGTATGTGCAGACCCAGGTTGTAAACCTTTCTCTGATTCCCCCTTTGATGTCTTTTTTTTAACAAATCACGAGTATAAACTGGAATCTCCCCAAGCACGTGTGACACAACTATAGAATGTGCCAAGTAGTTGGCTTCAGATTCCCATGAACCAACCAATGCCAATGTAACACACAAAACACTCAAAATATCAGCACAGACTAGAGTGTATTGTCTATTTATGCTACAATCTTGAATGCTGGGATACTATGAAAAACACATTCCTGTTGGGGAAAGGATTGGTGGCAAGAGAGAGAGAGAGAGAGAGAGAGAGAGAGAGAGAGAGAGAGAGAGATATCATTTCAACACAATGAAAGGAGCCTAGGAGAAATGCACTCGTCACGTGGAGAGCAGCCTTTTCCATTTTATATGTTGCCATCCCAGGTGACAACAGCTGAGAATTTCATTCATTATCCAACTCAGATTAGAATCAAGCATCTACACTGACTGCCGAGCTAATACACTTTCGTTTTTGGATTGAGTCTTCTAAACACAGCCTACTGAAAGTTGCTTTAATTGGCATTTTGTTAGAAGGTTAATACCGACTTACCAAAAATAGCCTGAGAGGGAAGCAGATAAGACATAAAGGGAAAATGGTGCAGATTCTCTCCTTTTATTTGAGCCTCTTCTCGGGAGCTGCATTAACACAGTGACTCAATACCTTTGCCTGCAGCAAGTCTCTCTGGTACTCTCCATTGTCCTAGTCTTCTGTTCTAACACTGTTGTTGGAGGCTTTCTTATCCCCCATCCAATACTATTGATGACACACCATAGATACCCCCTTGCTACTCACAAGCTTGCTTTGTTTCTGTTTACTCCAGTTCTGAATAACTACATTTTCATGTTTGCCCTTTGAGAACTGTTTACAGATCCTGTATCTGAGAGGCTTCATTATAGTCAACTCTTATTTGTTTCACAAACAGATTCTCCCTGTCCATCTGGTTCGATAAAACAAAGGGGTTTCAAAGCAGGCAGTTAGTCCTCAGCCTATAGGAGTTTCTTGTCTAGTTGGCAAAGCCAGTAATTGCCAACACATGAGACACACACACTAACACACACACACACACACTACACAAAAATCTCTGTTTGTGAACTGCTACAGAACTGTAAAGAAATGGAGAGAAAAACAAACACAGCCTGGGAAGAGGACATTTTCAGAGGTTTTCAATTTGCCATACCCAAAATACAGACAATCTTGTGACATGTAAATGATTGATTTTGTTTTAATTTTTCTTTCTACTTGAGATTCTCATACATGTATACAATGAATAATGATCATTTATACCTCCCATTTCCCCACCTCCAGCTTCCTGAACATCCCACCCAACAGGTCCTCCTCCCAACTTATGTCAGTGTGAGAGAGAGTTTGGGCAAGATGAGTTCATTTGCATACTGTCTTCATATTATAATCATATAATTGCCTTTCTCCTGAAGCCACAAAGAGCCATTGAAAGTTTAAAATTAGAATTTATTTAATTGGTTTTTGGTTCTTTCTTCAATTGTTCATCCTGCTTGGCCCCACAGTCGTAGATTTCCGGTGCCTTGCTTCCTCACAGACCATAGACACACTCTTATCTCTCTGAAGCAAGTGGGAATAGTGAGGTTACTAAGGTGTGATTCCTAGGGAACCAGAGGTCAGCGTACATCAAAATCACCATCTCCATCACCATCTCCATCACTTCATTTGTTGAAAGCAACATGAAGATGTTGGGAATATAGTATAGAGTGTGTTGTTTCACCAGCCCTATGCATGAAGCTTCATATCTACTCTATGAAATAGGAATTGTTCTGTTTCATAGACAAGAACTAGAGTCCTCAGAGAATCCTGAATGTTTGTCAAGGAAGCTCAGTTGGAAAAATACCTTTTTCTACTAAAACCTGAACCATAGTCTATGGACCTGGGGAAGACACTGGATTAAGCAGAACTGTATTGACTCACAGATAGACTAATAGCGTAACTACTGTGAGGTGGTGACTGCCTGATTCCTTCTTCCTGGCTTACTTTCAAATTATCCTGCCTGTGGGACAAGAGGAACAGCAGGGAGGACTGCATGTATTGAGTCCACATAAGATGGTCCAAAAAAAAAAAAAAAAAGCTAAAGTCTGACACCAGCTGGGTGTAGAAGCTGCAGCTACACTCTCTCAGAAAGAAACAAACAGGAAGACACATGTGGGCTGATTTTTCTCAAAGTTCTGTATTTGGGCTGCTTATTGGAGGATGAAATCTGTATTCAAGGTTTTCCTTCCAGTTAATTCTCTCTGTCAATGCCCTGACAGATATGCACAGTGTGTTTCCTAAGTGATTTTAAATCCTGTCAGGTTGATAAGACCAACCAGCATACCCCTCTTGCCTTGATCTTTTAAATACCCAGTCACCCACTTCTCCAATCTCCTCTCTTAACACACCCTACTATACTTGATACAAAGGCCTACCAAGCTGCTAGGACTCTCGAGAACATACCAGGATGTCCAACCATTGCCTGCTGACATTGCTTGAATTGTTCTTGTATTTCAAATAGAGTTTCTGACCTGTAAGTGATACGCAATCTGTTTAGTATATACATGTTGATGACTTTGTAGCCCATCACTACACTCTCTAGGTAACTGACAGCTATCACCTCTCAACATCACTTTGTGCCTTTTACTTCTGCTGAAATTTTTAATGAGACTACATAACATGAAAGATGCCCTCAAACCTTTAAGTTCCTAACACTGGGCTGTTATCTGCAGGTGACAGGCTACAGATGAAGCTCTAGGCTATACAGACTTTGTATAACTGAAACTTCATATAACTTTTTCTACTTGGCAAAGGCATTCATTCATCAATCTTTCGAGTAATATTTTACTAGGAAGGTAAACTTTTACCTTCTCCTTGAAGGGATGATGTGCGTCCTTTATCTCCTAATAGTCTGCATTACCTCTGCTCTTTCAGGAACTTCTACCATGTCATTAGCTCATCCCCAGGGTTCTATCCAATGAGAGCATGGGTAGAAATTTGGTCTGAAATCACTGTCTAGTTGGATAGCTTATTCCAGCACTGTGAATTGATGAACCTGGGGGCTCTCATCATTGTCAGAAGTCTCCAATAGATCATGGTGCTCATTCCTACTGAGCCAGCTCATTCTCAGATCCCTTTGTAAAGTGACGCTCCAGGCAACCCTCACCAATCAATACAGAATGGGATGTGAAGTTCTTTTCATCAAAAGACTCCATGAGAACAGTGAGAAGACAAGCCGTATCCTGGGAGAAGATTGCTCGCAATGTGTACAACAAAAGATCAGCACCTACACTGTACACAGAAAGCATAGAAAAAAAGAAAATAAATGGTATAGTTGCTATCTTTGTTCTAGAAAGATTCTAGGAGGAGGTAGCCTTATATTTCTGAGCTCAGGGATATAAAAACTCGGTAGCACTGGAATGCACACATGTTTGATGTAAACACAGCTGTGGGTAGGGCTGATGGCTCTACCTGGATTCTGTCCTCTTGCTTTGTCCTCGATCCATCACAGCATAAACTTCTGATGCCACCTTCATGTCCCAAGTGGTAAGCCAGTAGTTCCACCTGGTGTGGCTTCTCCTTGACCTCTATGCTCATAAAATAGTCAAGATTCTGAAGAGTCCTTGGTCCACACAAGGGAGCCTCAGAGGGATGATTCTTTGAAAAAAAGTGTGATTCAGATGCCAGGCATTCTGACAGGAGAATCTCCTGGTTCTTTCACATCAGCTGAGATTTGGACCATAACCTAGAAGACTCCTGGTGAAAGTAGTTGTGGCCATTAACTGATTCCTTATTAAACAGCAGTGCCTTTGATGGTAAGTCAATTATACTTCTTGTTCTAATCTCAATGAGTAGGAAATTATTAAACTGTCAATAGACTAGACCTATTCAAAGGGACCTAGATTCTTGAAGAAGAGGAAAAGCTTGGGTTGGGTGATATTGAAATTCTCTGTCTTGAACATACAATCATACTGATGTTGCCATTGTGTTCCAAGCAGTGATGGTGGTTCTACCATCAGGATGGTGAAGATATACATTTGCTCATAGATTTAAAGTAGCAGATGGCACAGAGTTCTTGGGGTTTCATGTCAGGCAAATCAAGTAGAGGATTTGCAAATCTGGGAACTGGAGACCAGTTCCCTAATCTCTGTGGGTTTTGTTTAACTTAATTACAGAACCAAGTGAAGGACAGGTTTTCATGTGGCTGGCTGCTTGTGGCAAGAAATAAGATAATGACTGCAAAATCTACCCGAGTGCATGCACATAGGAAATGTGTCTTCTGTCTTTGTAAGCATACATGAAAAATAGAGAACAAGGCATATTGTCTAAAGGGGTAGTGAGCAACCGAACAACTTTGAAAATACACTTAAAGGAGTAAACATTGGCAATGTGCTTTCAGACTCAACACCTTAGGAGAAAAACACATGTGCATGGTAGTCATGGAGGAATATCCATTGTCTTCGGAGAGAGACATCTCTGCACAGCCTCTCTAGATACCTAGCATTTATCTCAGTATTTGTAAGTGATAGAAACATCCTTCAATGGCACAGCATGTACAGGGTGAATAGCTCATATAAACTATGCCCAGTAATAGAAAGTGGGCATCATGGTTGTCAGAGTATATGAACAAATTCCAGGGCTTTGATAAGTACATA